AAAGAGTGCTGAGATCTTCACTGATGGCAGTACTTACTTTAATCTGAGGCTGGTTAACAGGGAATAAATTTCACATGCTCCTATCCATGCCTTTGTACCACGTAATCTATTATTGAAGTGAGATGCTCCTCGAGGGTCAAAACCTTCTTTCCAAGCATCTTCAATCATGGATTGAATTTTTGGTATACTGGGAATTAATGTATGATCTGAAATAAAATAGCATAAACCAAACCACTGAGTTGCAATGACCAAATCAATTCTGATAATTCCAGGGATATTAAAAGAAATGCGTATTAAGACTTCCAGTAACAAAAGAGGAATTGTGGTATGAAAATACACTGGGTAGTTTTAGCTCTTATCTCCCTTAAGTTCAAACATCACTACCCAAGCATTGTCTCTCTAACTGTTCTAGAGCATATTAATACCAAGGAAGTAACTTACGTATCAGTAATCTATTCCATGTTAAAGATCACAGTCTGAGGAATCAAAATATTTTATACAAAGGTTATGTAAAATATTAGCTCACTGCTAAAATATACCTTGCAAGCAATCATTATACATGTCATTCTTCAATAATGAAGAAAGCAACATTTGGAAGTTTCTGTAACCACAGCCCCAGCCCCTGTCTCCCAAGGATGAGCTGAAGTGATCCACTCCTACAGAAAGCCGTATGCGCCTTACATCTTTGAATTCATTTTGATAGTACTTGCACAGTGCTTCAATGACACCTTAAAAGAGAGAGAGAGAGAGAGAAAGAGAGAGAGGGAGAATGTGAAGTTTATCTTAAACAATATGCAATAATCTGTAAAGGCAGGCTTCTCTTGACATAAGAGCAAGTGAATATAAATTAAGAGCTTGGACAGATGTTCAGTTTCTCCAGGGAGAGTCCCCGTTTCTTACGGAGAAACCATGAGTATATAGAAGCTCATAAATTTTTCTCCCAGAGTAAAAGAAGTGGCCACTCAGGGAGAAAAATAACTTGGCAACAACCCAAGTAAAGTGGCTATCCAGAGATTCTCTCTCAGGAAACAGAACTTCTGCACATACAACAGATACAGAACCAAACTCCACAATCCCAGTGTACTTTGTTTCTCCCCCACACCTCTCCCTCAGGTGGCAGGAGAGTACATGTGTCAGTCTCAGCCAAGTAGGAAGCAGAACATGCTCCCCCAAGTGCTTCAGGCTAGAAAAGCCAGGCGCTGAAGCCATTGAGGGGTATATATGTTCTACTCCAGGCTTGTTCCATGCCTGAATCACACTGTGGTACTTGGATGCAGGGAAGCATATAAGCATAAATACTCCCTCTGCCCAGTCTTAGCTAGTCTTGAACATAGTATGGGAGAGAGAAGCAGCTGAAAGGCTCTTTGGTGCAGGGCACAGACCCTGCCCCACCTTCCCTGAACCTGATGACCCCTGCCTGCTTTCACTTAAAAAGCCTACAAAGCTCTCGGCTGGACAGTGCAATCTAGGGCCCCCATGGCTACCCAGCATCTGTGCTGCAGGCTCTTTGATCCTCTGTCTGAACTTCAGTACAGGTCAGTTTCTCCCTCAGGAAAACAAGCCAAATCATCCAGGACAACTCCCTCTGAATGTGTGTACACAGCTTAAGACAACTCAGGTCAGACTTGTTGAATGTTTGTTGGAATCAGGCCTTAAATTCAAGTCATCTACATATTGGACAAATTGGGTCTCATACTAAGTCATGTTGAATCTGTATCTTTCAAAGCATTCTAAGATTCCAACTGCTACATCAAGTGTATTTTCTAACATTACTAGAGTACCACTTCATGATAATATAACAGCATATGGATAAAAATGCAGACTATGAACCAAAGCAGGGATGTGAATAATACTGGCGCATATTGTGTCTAAATAAATAACTCTTTCAAGTTTTTGTACCATCCATTACAAAAAAGAAATCCCTGTTAAAAAAAAAAAAAAAAAAAGAGAGAGAGAGAATTTGGCCAGAAGGCTAGTTGAAGTTCACAGAGTTTAATTAATTACTACACCACCCAAGTACCTAGAGAACAACTTTGCAAACTAACTTGGGTGGCCAGGATATTAGCAACCTGATACAATTTGACTACCAACTATATAAGGCATAAGGACAAGACTATGTCAGGCATAGTAATCTGATAGTAAAGACCTTTGGTCATGGTGAAACTCGATTAACAAAAAGTAGTAAGATTTCCTCTTCCTCCAGCAAGTTTCAGTACTGACCTGAGGCCTTTGTTTTTCCATCATCTACACCAAAAGCCAAAGATTCCATCATGTCTGTCTTCCTCTTATGATATTCAAAAGGCTGCATTCTTCCTCTATTCACTTCCCTCTCCATGTTCTTTAGAAATTGTTGCTTGTAGCCACCAGAATCGTCCAAACCATATTGTCTCTGTTAAGCACAAAATATGAATCACTAACATTTTTCCTTCTGTAGACTGGGCAATGAAAAAGAATGAAATTAACAGGCATGGATAACAAATTAATTACACTGATTTGGAGATAGAAAACCATAGAGCTGAACTTCTGGCAGAGGGTATTTTGTACTTAAAAAGCAAGTATGTAATTGTCACTTCCAGTCTAAATCTGCTAGAAAGCCTGTGTCCACGAAAAGAATGCGTTTGGTAACTATCCAATTCTAGCATATAAGGAAGTTGTAACATATTAACATTATAAAATATATTTTAATAAAATTTATACCAATAAACCCTACCATTTTATGAGTTTATAATGAATCTAGATCTAAGACAAGTTTCTGAAGCAATGAATTTTAAATTCATACTTTTTAATGCAATAACTACTACATGCAGACACAACATAATGTTAGAGTTAGTAGTTATGACAGCTAAGTACTTTGCATGATAAAAGCACAGTAAGAATGAATATCCTTTATAAGGTCCAGGAAAATTATTCACATTTTAAGGTTCAAGAAAAAAAGCAAGATAGAAGGTGAATGAAGTGACTTGTTCAAATCCACAAATCAGCCACGGGTAAGGGCAAATTTAGAATTCAGTGTAGCCAGACTCCCAAGTCTGTTCCTAGTCCTCCCTATAAAGGCAACTGTCTCATGATGCTGAAGTTAGAGGCTTATTATATACTAGCCAGTTGCCTGTCAAGAATGACAGGGGAAGGGTTGTTGGAGCACCGCCACCCACCCCACCCAACTCGGGGGGGGGGGGGGGGGGGGGGGGGGGGGACGTG